TGATGATGATGCTGATGATGATGATGATGATGATGATGATGATGAGGAGGAGGAGGAGGAGGAGGAGGAGGAGGAGGAGGAGGAGGAGGAGCAGGAGGGGGAGGAGTAGGAGGATGAACGGGAAGAGGATGATGTTTCCATCCCTTGAATTCCTTCTTCGTACGTCCCCTCCCCCTTTCCTCCCTTCCCCCGCTTTGCCTCGCTTTCTCCCCCTTCCACTCGCGCCCCTCACGTGGAGGAGGGAGGGCTCCGAGGCTCCGAGGGACCCAAGCATACATCCACTGGCTCTTGGGCCCTGCGCGCTTCTGGGTGATCTCTGCCAAGACTCTGCGCCTCCGTTTGGAGCGTCTCCTGGCGACTCGCGCGCTCCTCGCGGGCCCGGACGCCTCTCGTGGGCCGCCCCGGGTGGCCTCCGAGGGCTTTCCTCGTGCACCCTCGGCTCAAGCCACTGGCTCAACGGGAGACGTCGATTACGTGCGTAACCTTTCTCTGAGCCAGTGTCTGTGCTCGGAGCATCTCCGCCGCTGCTTCGGGCCAGCGGCGCGTGTGGTCTGATGGACCGCACGTGCTGCGTTGGAGCGGTCCGCGAACGTGTGGTGTTTGGCCAGCAGGATATGACGACGACGTGCTGACTACGATCGCGTGTATTTGTTTTTCTGTCGTTGGCTTGCACGGCCGGGGAACTGTACCATGACGACTCCCGCATGTCTGCGATAGCAGCGACACGTCGGTTCAAAATCTTGTCAGCCCACGATTGCTGCACCATACCTTCTGTCGAATCATTGGCGGAGTTTGGTAAGTATGAACGCTCTAATTCTCCGAACGGAGTGTGCCAGAGTGTCTACAAGCAGCATCCGATCTCTGCGTCTCCACAGCTTAAAAGCCGGTTGGCTGGGCAGCCCTGGCAAAATGAAGCGGGAGGCCTTGGATCAACATGTTTTGAGTATCGGGCAAAGGTGGTGAGCAACGGGTCACCCAACTGCGGAGGGAGTACAAGCAGAAGAGCATGTGTTGTCCTGACTCCGTCGAGCAGAAGAGCATATGTTGTCCTGAGCACAGTGCACTTGAAGTATGCGTTACGTTCTTCACTTGGACGGTCTGAAGCATGTCGGAGCTTGTGCGCTACGTCGGTTGGGTGTCTCCTTGGAAGTTAGCGCAAGTTTCTCTAAAGTTGCCACGCCGCTTAGTGGTGCACCAGGGTGCCGCATGGTACTGACCGTTTGCTCTCCCTTGAATTGCCGATGCGTTTGCTGTTGGCTGCCTTGCCAGGCTTGCACATCGAGGCATGCGCTCGCTGTATCAGTTTGTCCCGCATTGCGACCCTGCGATGGACCACGATCTCGGCGATTGTGCAGCATCTTTCGCACCGACCGCGCCCCTTCACACAAGCCCGCTTCCTGGGTCCTGGGCCTCCCGAGGCTGTCCCCGCCCTGCCCGTCGGAGTCCGGCACTTCCGGCCCCCAAGGAAGGACCAGCGAGGGGGCAGGCATCCCACGCGCCAGCGCCACAGAGGCTTGCGACTCTCGACGGCCTCCAGGGCTCCTCCTGGCCCAGGGTGCTGCTGGAGGTGCCCCTGGCCCAGGGTGCCCCCCCCGGGATCTCCAGGGAGGCCCCGGCGGCCTCCAGAGAGCACCCCTCGCGAGGCCCAGGTTGGCCCCAGGGGCTCCAACATGGAGCGACAAGCTGTCGGAGGCCTGGAGGTCGACACCAGCACCGGTGTCGGCGGTGTGCCTCCGCCGAGGGAAGAGTGCCCCGATCTCGGCGATGGTGGTAGCATTCTGGCCTCTCAGGCGGCCGAAAGATTACCACCAACACCGAGATCTAGGATCGTCTTCCCCCGGTGGAGGCAAACCCCTGTGTTGGTGCTGGTGCCCATTTCCAGGCCTCCGAAGCTGGAGGCACTTTGGGCCAGGGGCACCTTTCGCAACCGCCCACTGGTGCCGCAGGGGTGCAGATCTTTGCCGCCCCCGCATGGGCTCCCTCGAAGATGGGCTTCTTCGGCGCCTTGGGCGCTTCGGGTCCCCTCGAACAGCCGCCAGGCCCTCCCACAGCATCAAACCAAGTCGTATGCTGAGTTTGCCCTCCTTTCCTGGTCTTGTAGTCGAGATACACTTGAACAAAAAACAGGTGGAGGTAAGGACAAAGGGAGGGAGCTCGTACCCTGCTGTCCCTTCCTTCCTGCCCTCCTGAGGCTCTGCCGCTTTGCCTCCCGCGCCACAATGGCGTCCACCCTGGAAAGGTCCCGACCTGCACGAGGTCGGAGGGCAGTTACGTCCAGTCGCTCTTGCTGCTGCTGCTGCTCATCCTCCTCCTCCTCCTCCTCTCCTCCTCCTCCTCCTCCTCCTCCTCCTCCTCTTCCTCCTCCTCACCATCCACCTCCTCCCCCTCCTCCTCCCCTCCTCCTCTCCCCTCCCTCCTCCTCCCACCTCCTCCTTCCTCCTCCTACCACCTCCTCCTCCTCCTCCTCCTCCTCTCTCCTCCTCCTCCTCCTCCTCCTCCACCTCCTCCTCCCTCCCTCTCGCTCCTCCTCCTCCGTCCCCCTTCCTCCTCCTACCCCTATTCTCCCTCCTCCTCTCCTCCTCCTCCTCCTCCCCTCCTCCTCCTCCTCCTCCTTCCTCACCCCTCTGGCCCTACCTTCCGACTGGCCTCGGCCTCCAACCCCCTCCGGGCTGGCCCGGCGGTGGCGGCCCGAGCGCCATCCGCCGCAGGTCGCGCCCCCGCCCGCGCAGGAGGGCCCGGAGCAGGCCGGTCCGCGCAAAGGCGCCGCGAAGAGGCGCCGCGGGCACCCGAGAAGCCCGCCGGGGCCAGCCGAGAAGCCCCACAAGCCCGAGAAGCCCGGTGCAACCCGAGAAAGTCCAGCGCCCGCGGGCGGCACAGGACCGACGCCCGGGACCACGCCTCTCTTCACTCTCGGCCGCCCTCCACTGCCAATCCTCCACCTCACTCCTCCTACCTCCTCCTCCTCCTCCTCCTCCTAACGTTCCCCCTCACTACCTTTCTCCTCCCTCGCTCCTTCAACCCACCTCCTCCTCCACCTCCTCCTGCCTCACACCTATTACCTTCCTCCGCTCTTCTCCTCCTACCTCCTCCCAGATTCCCTCCACCCTCCTCCTCCTCTCCGCCTCCTCGCTCTCCTCCTCCTCCTCTTCCTCCTTCTCCTCTTTCTCCTTTTCCTCCTTCTCCTCCTTGTCCTCCTCGTCCTCCTCGTCCTCCTCGTCCTCCTTGTCCTCCTCCTCCTCCTCGTCCTCCTCGTCCTCCTCGTTCCTTCCCCCCTCTTCCTCTTCCTCCTCCTCCTCCTCCTCCTCCTCCTGCTGCTCCTCCTCCTCTCTCTCGTCTTCCTCGTCCTCCTCGTCCGCCTCGTCCTCCTCGTCCTCCTCGTCCTCCTCCTTCTCCTCCTCCTTTTCCTTTTCCTCCTCCTCCTCCTCCTCCTCCTCCTCCTCCTCCCCATGCCGATGGCTTTTTGCAGCCCCTGGGGTGGCTGTTGGGCGCCAGTCAGGGTGGGCGCATGGCGCACGCCCGAAGAGCACCGGCATAATCGCCCCAGGGTTTCGGAAGCCGTGGCGACACCCGCACACGAGACACTTACCTCAAAGACAGCCCGGTGGCGAGACCAGATGTCCTGCGCATTTCGAGGTCCCCGCCTCGAAAAGCTTCCAACTCGAGGTCTCCACCTCGAGGCGTTCACCTTGAGGTCGCACGCCTAGAGGTCGTTTCACCTCGTGGCCGTCACCTCGCGGCTTTCACCTGAAGTTCTCCACCTCATGGTCTCCACCTCGAGGTCTTCACCCCCAGGTTTCTACCGAGAGGTCTTCACCTCGAGGTATCCCCTGCGGGACCACCTCGAGGTCTCCACCTCGAGGGCTTCAGCTTGAGATCTTCACCACGAGGCCTTCACCTCGGTGTTTCTACACCGATGTTTTCACCACGTGGCATTTGAGTCTTCGAGGTTATCCCGTCGCGAAGCAATCGCCGCAAGGACGCAACCCGACGGCAAGGGATGATGCGGTCCTACATGCCCTCGCGTCGCGCGTGTTATCTCCGTTCGTGTAGTTTTGAACGCTTCTCGGCGGAATTGCTGGCTTCCGTGTGTCCACAGCTTCTACGCGCTTGCCCCTGTCGCGAGGCAGATGCCTCCAGGACAGCTCGGCGGGAACGTCGGCAGTCCTGCACATTCTCACGTCTCACCGGCATCCAAGGCTTGTCTCCTTTTTGGACTGGCTGGCGGCAGTGCCAGCTGTCGCGCATCCACAGATTATGCACGCTCACCCCCATCGCGAGGCTGTTGCCTCAAGGACGCAGCACGGCGGGAAGGTCGGCGGCCCTGCACGCTTTCACGTCTCCCCCGTCACCACGGTTCGTGTTTTTGTTCGGGCGTTGGCCGGCGGGAGTATCGGCTCTCGTGCGCCCACAGGTCTGCGGGCTTGCCCCCGTCGCGAGGCAGCTGCCTCAAGGGCACAGCCCAGCGGTCCTGCGCGTTCTCGTGTCCCTCCCGTCATTACGTTTTTGTTTTTTTTTTCGGCGCTGGCTGGTGGCAGTGCTGCTGTCGTGCGTCCACAGCTTCTACGCGCCTGCCCCTGTCGTGAGGCAGTCGCCTCAAGTACACAAACCGGCGGCAAGGCTGGTGGTCCTGCGCGCTCTCGCGTCGAACCGCTGCGAATGTTCGTCTCCTATCGGACGCTGTCTGGTGGCAGCGCCGTTTACCGTGCATCCGCAGATTCTGCGTGCTTGCCCCCGTTGCGAGGCAGTCGCCTCAAGGGCGCAGCCCGGCGGCAAGGCCAGCAGTCTTGCGCGCCTACATTACCCTGAAACTCACAGTGCGTTTACCAGTGGGCACCGCTTGGCGGCAGTGCCAGCTTGCGTGCATCCGCAGATTCTGCGTGCTTGCCCCCTGCCGCGAGGCAGATGCCTCGCGGACGTTGCCTGGCGGCAAGGCCAGCAGTCCTGCGAGCTCTCGCGTCGAACCGCCACCAGTGTTCGCCTCCTATCGGGCGCTGTCTGGCGACAGTGCCAGCTATCGTGCATCCGCAGATTCTGCTTGTTTACCCCGTCGCGAGGCAGTCGCCTCAAGGACACAGCCTGGCGGCAAGGTCGGCGGCCCTGCGCGCTTTCACGTCGAACCTCTACGAGGGTTCGTCCGATTTTGGACGCTGGCCAGCGGCGGTGCCAGCCATCGTGCGTCCGCAGATTCTGCGCGACTGCCCCCGTCGCGAGGCTGTTGCCTCAAGGACGCAGCACGGCGGGAAGGTCGGCGGCCCTGCGCATTCTCACGTTCTAGCCGATAACCAAGGTTTGTTTCCTTTTTCGACACTCGCTGGCGGTGCAGCCAGCTTTCGTGCATCCTCAGATTCTGCGCGCTTGCCCCCGTTGCGAAGCAGTTGCCTCAGAGACGCAGCCCGGCGGCAAGCTCGGCGGTCCTGCGCGTTTTGACGTTTACCCGCTTCCAAGGTGCGTCCCATTTTCGGCGCTGGCTTGTTGCAGTGCCAGCCATCGTGCGTCCGCAGATTCTGCGCGCCTGCCCTCCTCGTCGTGAGGCTGTTGCCTCAAGGACGCAGCACGGCGGCACTTGCGCTCCCCCGCGTATCCCGGGATCTGGATGGACTATGCCCAGCGGCAGTGCCAACTTTCGTGCGCACGCATTTCAGCGCGCTTGCCCCCGTCGCGAGGCAGTTGCCTCAAGGACAGCCTGGCGGCAAGGCTGGCGGTCCTGCACTCTCTCGCGTCTCCCTGGCTCTCCCGGGTCTTCTCCCTTTGGGCGGTGTTCGGCGGCATTGCCAGCGTGCGAGCATTCGCTGGCTCCGCGGGCTGGGCCCTCGTCGCGAGGCAAATGCCTCGAGGACGCAGCCAGGCCGCGCTCCTTGACGGAATGAATCTTTTGGTTGAACCATTTTTTACATGTATCGGTCCTAGTGATCTGGGCTAACTTGCCCGCCGCTCGCACGGACGACGTTGTACTTGCACCGCGGTTTTCGTTCTTCACCTCCCCCTTCCCCGCCGCGCAAGAATGGGGCGGAGTCGCGCGCTCGTGGAACTCATGATTGTCAGCCGACCGAGGCGGCGGTTGGCAGGTGGTCTCGCCCCTGTCCTGGGGCCTGTGATCTTGGTCCGACTCGTGCTACCTGCGTATCAGTGTAAATGTCAGCCCCTTCTGTAGTGCGCGTGTAGGTGCGGCAGCGATGTCTCCGCGCACGCTTAGAGGAGGTGCGGGCGGGCGCTAGAGGAACCACTGCCCGAATTTCCGCCCCTGGTGATTGATTTCCCACCGGGAACAAGAAGTCAGCGTCCCGGGCGCGCCCATCCGTTGTCGACTCGGCGCGCCGTCAGCCACGGATTATCGAGGTGGTTCCGAGCCCAGCCCCCGACCACAACCCAGACATAATAAACATTTTGGTTAACATATTTTTTTGTCCAGCACGTTTCTCATTCAGTAAAATCCAAACGAAACGCACTCTCGCCAGCGATGAAAATCTATGCTGTCTGCCTTGCGGGCCATTCTGTGGCCGCGACGTGTGGCCATTTAGAGGCCTCCCTGCGGCTCTGGCAGGTTCCAGCATGAATCTATGCGCTGTTTATTTCACGTGTGGGCCATCCGGTGACCGCCCTGGGGACAGGTTAGCAGCCTGGAGCGATCTCGTTCCGTGCGTTTTGGGCCACAGCCCCAGGCCGTTCGCCTCATCGGGCCACCGTGCCATTCAGGGTGATGACTCCAGGAAACTGGGGGCCAAGGCGCCCCAAAACCATATTATTTCAAGTCTTCCTCCTCCTCCTCCGTCTTCTTCTCCTCCTTCTCCTTCTCGTCCTCCTCCTCTTCGGTGTTCTTTTCCTCCTCCTATTCCTCCTTTTCCTTGTCTTCGTCCTCCTCGTCCTCCTCCTCTTCCTTCTCCTTCTCCTCCTCCTTCTCCTCCTCCCGTCCTCCTCCTTCTCCCGCTTTTCTTATTCTCCTCCTTCTCCTGCCTCTTTTCTCCTCCTCCTCCTCCTCCCCCTCCTCCTCCCTCACCTCGTTTCCTCTCCTCCTCCTCCTCCTCCTCCCTCCTCAACGCCTTGTCCTCCCCCTCCTCCTTCCCCCCTCCTCCTTCCCCCCTCCTCCCCCCCGTCCCACATGCTGCCGCGCTACGCCATACGTCCATACGGTATCCATCCCCGCGCCGCGCACATTGACAGCAGGCCACCGTTCGTCCTCTCCTCCTCCTCCTCCTCCCCTCCCTCCTCCTCCTCCTCCTCCTCCTCCTCCTCCTCCTCCTCCAGTGCCCTCCTCCCTCTCCTCCTCCCCGCCTCTCCTCCACAACCCCGCTCACCTCCTCCGCCTCCTCCTCCTCCTTCCCATTCTCCTCCTCCTCCTCTTCCTCCGTCTTCTAAGAGCTGTAAGCTGTAGGCAGGTCTATCCCCTCGAGACTGTTGCCCTCGCTGCTCCCACCCTGGCCTTCGCCGAGGGAGGACCGCTCGCAATGGGGAATAAAGAGGTCCTGAGGGAGATGGGTTCTGGAGTTTTGCTCGCCGTCTGCGGGTATCACAGCCAGCCCATCCGCAAACGATGCTCAGGCGAGTTGCCTTGCTAAGGGATGCGTAGTAGAAGCGCAGGAGCATGCCGTGACACGAAGAGGGGGGGTAGCCGTTATTGTTCGAAGGAAGGAGGAGGAACAACAGCATGATGAGCAGGAAGAAGGGGGACCACGGGGTGGTGCATTGCGATGCGGAGACGGAGGACGATGAGGAGGAGGATGAAGGATGTCGGAGGAGGAGGAGGATGAGGAGATGTCGGAGGAGGAGGAAAGAGGAGGAAGCGGAGGAAGAGGTGGAGTAGGAGGAGGATGCTGCTTAGGACTTCGATGAAGACGAGCAGGGAGAGCAACGAAGAGAGCGTAAGGGCTGATGGT